TGAAAACCTGTAACATTTCCAGTTGAGCAACACATTTATGCATTCAGAACTGAAGGAAAGAAGTGTTTCTCTGACGTATTTCACAATTATCTCCACAGCAGTTGATTGATCCAGAGGAGAACCCTCTGTGAATTACAGCTCAAGGCCAATCAGAAACCATTGAGTTCAGAGATCTCCACCAAGTAATTGCCATGGGCTGCTCTGTGCAAGGAATTACATTATCCTAAATATGCTTTTAGAGCTAAAAATAATTAAGTCTAGATTTATGAACAGTGAAAGGATGGAAAGGGAGAATAGAATGGAGAAGATGACAAGGTCCAGATTCTTTCCTTTTGGGAAATACAATTACTTTCCCCCTTGTCAGTCTTTTTATTCCTCTACCCCAACTTTGTTAAAACAAATTAATGAGGGAATTATGCCAACCTGAAGTACATCTTTTTTTGTTAGAAATGGCAGCAAGTGTAAGGCCACTAGCACACAAAGTAGCTGAGGAAGACTCTGGGAAAGCCTTCACTGTGCCTGCAGCTCGATGCTCATCCCAACTGCAACCTGACAACCCAAGAGAGCCACACAGTCAGTCAGGATGATTTTCAAATACACAGACATATATTACACAAAACTGCACAGGGGGACATCATGTTTTGTTGTTCAGCAAAAGCAACAAGGCTACACAACTGCCTTTTTTTCCAGAATATTCTTCATGCAAGCCAAAAACTGAATTCAAGTTTGCAAGGCTGAAGCCACATTTCCTATCCCCAAAATGAATACAGGACTGCCCAGGTTAAAAAAAAAAAAAAAACAAAAAAACAAACAAAAAAAAATCCACAAAAAACAAAACAAAACAGGGAGGCACTGGGGAACTGGAGGGAAGAACTGCTACACCCTGGTTTTCTTTACCTTAGAGACACAGTAACAAAACACTGAATGGCCACACTTGCCACAATATCTATAAGTTTCAAAGCAACCTAAAAGAATCACACTTGCAATGTTACCAGCTATCAGTACATGTTACAATTCCTTAGCTAATCATACTCTACACTTTCACTAACTAAATAAGCCTCTTATTAACAGGGGCAAAAGAAATCCCAGCAGAGAACTGCAAAGTTGTTACCATTTGCATTTTTCCAAAGACCTGAACAAACACAGGTGTTAAGCAAATATATTTCAAATCATCTAACAAGTAACTTGCAACCTTTTAGGCAAATAATAATTAAGGGCCCAGTGGGAAAATAGTTAAATTGTCCAAAGTGAGCCAAAATATCATCTCATTTTAAACGAGATCAGGCATTTCACTATATACAGAAATTTTGCTATTTCTAGGTGAAGGTCTGTGAAATGCCTTCTGTTTTGCTGCTGCTAAAAGAAAATGTGAAGTCACTGCACACAAATACAGAAATCACTGCTTGAACACAACTTTTCAAGAAGGCAAAAGAATATTAACTTGAGAAGGCAGCTGATTGAGGAATCAGAATTCACTTTCAAGCAACGTTTCTGCAACCAATTCCTGTTCGAGCATTTACCTGGGCTTTTTTTCCCAGTTCAATGCAGTACGTCCAGCTCTAAAATATATTTACATTGGAAATTATGGACTTCAAATGAACTGAATTATTATTTCAGCCTGCCTCACACAGGAAGTTCAATTTGAATTGCAAGAAGAGGCTTTTGGGGATTTAAAAGTCTTCAGAAAGACATCTCACATTAACTGAATGTAACACACACTCCTTGCTATAGCACACCTTTGCAGGTTTTCATTGTTCTCAAAGCTGAAAAGTGACAACAGCCAGAGAAAGCAAAAAAATTTCTCTCCTGCACATCATACTTGAAAATGGCAACTCAGTGTAAAAACTACATGGGTTTTACATTCAGTTGTCATTGATACTCAGCAGATAGTCTGATAATCAACAGATCACGGAGCACTTCACTCCAAGGAAGCATGAACCTTTCACGTTCATTGTGACAAAGTGATTCAGTCATCTCAGGTAACTTCAGTCCTCTCACAACCTTCTACTGAGACAGAAAACAGCAGGAACATTAAATCCGAGCACACCTTCTGCCCTGCACAAACCATCTCCTCGCAGCTCCCGGTCCCCTCCCTTTCACTCTCCTCCCTGCGATACCGAGCCCGAGCCCTGCAAAGCAAGACCGAAGCACGGACGGGCAGCAGGCCGAGAAGCCTCGGTGCCTCTGAGGGCAGCACGGCCGGGGAGCGCCGGGGGCCGCCGGCGGGGCGAGGCGAGCCCGGCCCGCATCCCGCATTGTGCCCCGGCCCAGCCGGAGCGATCTCCCCGAGCCTGCGGGCCGAGCTCGCCCCTGCGAGGCCCCTCGCTCCCCCCGGGCCGCCCGCCCCCCTCAGCCCACCCGCCGGCCCACCCACACGCGGGCCCCGCCGGTCCCGGGCACGGCCGGCGATGGCTCAGCTCCCGCCGCCGCCGCCCCTCCGGGACCGCGCTGCCGCCGCCTCAAAGACGGGGAAGGTCAGGGCGGCTCTGTTCGGCGGCTCCCGCCCAGCCCGGCCCGCGGCAGCCGGCAGCGCCCCGCGGCGGGGATGGGGCTGGGCCACGGGGCCGCGGGAGGCGAGCGCGGGGTGTGGCGGTGCCGCGCGCCGGCCCGCGGGCGGTGCCGGTGCCGGTCCCGCCGCCAGTGGCGGTCGCGCCCCCCGCACTCACCCGCGGCTCCCACTATGGCGGCGGCAGCGGCCCCGTGCGCGGCGCGAGCCCCCTCAGCCTCCCTCGCCCGCGCTTCTGCCCCGCCCCGCTCCGCCCGGCCCCGCGGCATGCCGGGACAGCGAGTCACAGCGGTCGCCGGACGCGCGCGGAATGGGGCCATTGGAACTACAACTCCCGACACGTCCCGCGCCGCACCCCGCGGTGGCTCATTTGAATGAGGGAAGGGGCCCGCGCGCCGCTGGCCCCGCGGCGGCGCCCCGGAGCATTGTGGGATGGTGGGGGAGCGGAGCGCGGCCCTGCGGCTGGGGAGTGACGAGGACGGGGCTGTCCCCCTTTGGGTAGAGAATTGTCCCCTTTGGGACAGGACCTTACCCCTGTGGGACAGCGTTCTACCCCTTTGGAACAGGATTGTCCCTCTGTGGGACAGGATTGTACCCTCTGGGCCAGAGCAGGACCTGGGTGGGGATGTGGGTGGTCGCAGCCGCAGCACTGCAGGTCCTGAAGTTAATTTTAGTCTCCTTATAAGAGCTACACAGTGACGATTTTTAAGGAAATTACTCCACTAGGTTGCAGTGAAGTCAGCAAAGATGGTGTGGGGCGGTAGGAAAACGCCTTCAAATAAATATTTGTGAAGATGTAAGTGGTCTAAAAAGCGTGGTTTGGGTCCCCTGGAGCCCTCCCATATTCCCTGAAGCAGCAGCAGCAGAGGGGACTCATAAGGGTACAGGAGTTGTCAGGATTTAGGATTATATGCTTAAATAGGCTGTGGGCAGAGTTACATTCCTAAATTTTTGTGTGACTGGAAAGATGAATGGTAGATGCTCTTGTACTGCAGTGGTAGATATGGGATATGGGCTACTTAGGGAATACATGGCTTGTCAGTGCTTGAGCTCCGCAGCTTGGCGATGCTGGCCAAGAATGCATCATCTTAAATAAAATTATTAACCCTCTGGGCCAAAAGCTATCATATCATTACATAAAAACTTCAAAAAAAAAAAAAAAGGGGGGGGGAGTCACTATTAATCTTTAGAGGAATTGTTATGAACTTAAGGTTTTCCCTGAGACTCATAAAAGCCATTTAGAATAAACATTCTTTAAGTCCCCTTCTAGGGCTGACATTTTATAATACACAGAAATGTGACAACCAGAAATAGAGCTGGTAGAAGAAAAATATTGCAAGGGCACAGGCTAGATTAGAATACAGAAAGATGAGGGGTTGAAAGAGAAGAAAAATGTTTGCACTGAGCAGCAGCAAAGGGTTTTTTGCTAGCATGGTAAGGTGCCTTCCTACAGAATTAACCTCTTAATTCCCTGTTGTACGGTCGCTCACTTCTTTCATTTATCAGGAAATGGGAGAAAGTGTGCATGAGGAAAAGTGTCTGCTTTTATCAGAGTTTATCCTGCACTGGAAGGGACCCACAAGGATCCCTGAGTGCAGTTCATGGCCCTGCACAGCACAGCCCCAGCACTCACACCAGGAGCACTGCCCAAACTCTTCTGAGCTCTGGCAGCCTTGGTGCTGTGACCTTTGCTGGTTCTTTCACTGACCTAAACCATTCAGTGGTAACACATCACTAAAAACCATTCCAGGAGCCCCAAACCCACCCAATTCTTGGTCACTTCCCACCATCCCAGTCACAGAGACTCTCCACAAACACTCAGTTTCTGTTTCCCCTGGGCTGCACTAAAGGTTAGGTTGTAGTGCCCCAGCTTCCAGTCCCATCCATGGAGTAGAGGGGACATTGGCCATGTGGACCTACAGACCTTTTTAAATAAGGAGCCACAGGCTTCTTTCCTCTAACTCCCCTAATCCTTCAGAAATCCTTCATCTGAATCTCCCCAAATATGCCCATACTAGTCCTTTGGATCCACATCTGCTATCACCATCCAGAAATGGATAATCTTACTGTTTGGGGAGTTTTTTGTTGTTGTTTTGGGATTTGGGTTTTGTGGGGGATTTTCTTTGGTTGGTTTTTTGTGTGCTTTTATTTTTAATTTTGTTTTTGATTTTTTTTGTCTGGTTTTTGAGGGGCTTTTTGTTGGGTTTTTATTTGTTTGGAGAGGTTTTTTTTGGTTGGTTTGGGGTCTTTTTGTTTTGACAGCCTTATTTCAATCCTTCATTCCAATAAACATACTTGCTCTCCTTCCCCGTTGTATCTTCTAAGCCATCTGTCTCCAGCTGCTTCTGTTTCCAGTCCCCTGGAGTAGCCGCACTGTGCCTGTGCTGTACCAGTGGCGCTCCCAAGGTGGCACACACGCTCTTTGCCGTGTCCTCTTCTGCCGCGGGCCCTGCTGTGTCTCTCTGCCACCTCCTCCTGCTCCAGCCCCTTCTCCTCCACCCACTCCATCCCTAAAGGGGAAGGGGCACAGCCCTGACTCCCCAGAACCCTCTCTATTGACACTCTGCTGACTATGCCAAATAAAATGTTGTGTAATCCTATAAAAACTAGGCAAGTAATATATCCAAATGGAATTTATTTACAAGGCAGCTGGCAGAAGAGCTTTTATTTGCTCAGAGTGGCTCTTTCTGGCAGAGGGCCCCTCCTGTTAGCAGCAGAGCTGCGCTCACCTCAGGCTGTGCTGGGGTGATGAGCCCTCAGGAGGGCACACTGCACCCAGGGCTGGAGGCTCGAGCTTTTGGGCACAAGGAAGTCAGGAGCTGATGTGGTCTGATGTTTTCTCCTAGATGAGGACCTGTCTTCTCAGCCTGCCTGTCCCCTGGGCCATCCCCATCAAACCTTCTTTGACGCATTCCCTCCTTCCTCTCCCGTGCCCTGCAGAGTTCCCTTGGCAAGGAGCAAGTGCTGAAAGGCTCCTGCCACCCTCCCCCTGTGTCACTTGAGCTCCTTGCATGCCTCAGCAGCTTCCTGGTGCCTCTGAGTGCAGATCCAACTAAGATCCAGTCATGCCTGGAGGTAAAATCCTGAAAGAGCTCCATAGGTGCTGGACCACACTGGGCAGGCTCAAGTCAAGCTGCTCTTTTGGCACCCTCACCAAATGTCACCTCAAACAAAAAGGGGAATGCAGGGAATGGCTACCTTGTGATGGGACTTCCATGCTTTGTTGAGTCTGGACAACCTGGGGCAGATTTAGCTTCTTAGCTCTGGCCAGCCTCTGCTTGGTGCTGAGAGACATCTCCTTCTGGAAGGCAGAGGGAGTCAGCTGAAAGGTAAAAAACCAAGAACTCAGAAATGCACTTGTTCATAGAGGCTTTTCTTGTTCACTTGCTACTGATGAATAATTTGTGATCACAGCCACTAGGACAGTTCTGGAAGCCCTGGAAGTTACCTGCTGAAATATTTAACATCAGTAAATTAATGATATAGAGCAGAATGCACATGCTGTAGCCACATGGCTCTGTCCCATTAGCTTCTGTGTGATTTGATGTGACATGTTTGGGGATTTCTGCTCTTTGGGCATTCGTTTCCTCTTTAGTTTCACTGGATTGAGCTGGTGACCTTTGCAGAGAGTGGGGAGGAGTTATCAGAACTCCCCTAACCCCATCCTTGCCCAGCACTCACAGCCCCCAGTGTGGAGATGTCACTGCTGAGTGAGTCCAGGGGGGCAGGAGAGCAGCTCTGTGCCAAGGCTGGAGTGCTCAGCAATGGCTCCAAGCCTCAGGGCTCTCTTTAATTAGCATTTGTTTTCTCTGCCTGCCCTCACAGACCCCTCCCCAGAAGAGCACAGAGCTCTCCTGACAGAGCCCCAGCACCAGAACATCTCCAGTCAATGAGCTGCAATCAGCAAAGGGACATTTGTGGGTGGGGAGGGGAATTGCCCTGACCCCACTGCTGGGCTGGATCTGCGCTCCCACAGGAGATGGGACACAGGAGCTGGTTTGGAACCTGTTCTAGCTGGGACCAGCCCTGTCCCTCAGAGCTCCAGGCAGAGTTTGAGCTGCCCTGCACACTCCAGGTGCCCAAGGCAGGCTGGTGGGAGCAGCACAGGTGAGTGTCCAGCCTGGCAGAAGGAATTAGTGCCACACAAAGGGGATGGAGAGCAGCACAACCTCATGGCTTCAGCTGGACATTGGTTCAGCTTGGCTCTGGGGAGGGGATCTGCAGACTCACAGAGCTGCTGGACAACACATGGGGCAAAGAGAGGAGGGACATGAGGAAGCTTCCAGCCTTGACACAGCTCAGGCCCAGGCACAGTGGGTACTCACAGGTTTCTCTGCCTGTCTGACGAATTTTCGATTACAATGTTCCGCCACTCCGCCCTGGGATCCAGAAGCCATTGTGGAGAATGTCTGGCCTGGATCATTTGTGCCACTGGCTATGTCTTGGCTCACCTGGAAGGAGCAACAATGGAACTCTGAAATTCCAGAATTCCATTCAGGCAGACCCAAAGGATACACTGGTGTCTCCAGCCTGTGGCATCCTTCAGAAGTGAAGAACATGAGGCCACCCCACTCTGATTTATCTTTAGACCCTATTTTAGTGGCTGAGTTAAGATTCATAGAAGTAAATCCCCAGAACAAACAGAACCTGAAACAAAACAGCCTTTTGCTGTGGGTGCAGTCCCACAACCCAAAAGACTTGTCAGAGCCTGGTGGCACTTAACATTTCCCACCTTTTCCATTAATTTTGTGACCCCATTTTCTGACGTTATTAACCAAATCTCCATTAATATCCAAACTGTCCTTTATCACTTAACAAGTTTTCTTGGTGGGAAGAGAAGGAAAGTGAATGTCACTCGGCTGCTGGCCTGGGTTTGTCACCGAGGGAGCAGGACCAGCCGGTGGTCAGGGGACGGTGGCATTGTCCCCTGCAGCACCAGCCACACGATGTCATTGTCCCCTGCAGGAGCGGCTCCTCCAGCCCAGGGAGCTCCGCAGAGCCTTCCCGGGGCAGAGCGCGGGGTGCGCTCCTCGGGGCCCGAGGGAGCCTTTCCAGGGCAGAGAGGACAAAGGACGCGTGTCCCTTCCTCACAGCCTGTCACGTTAGGGCAGGGGGCAGAGCAGGAGCTGACCGAGGGCCAGGCGTGGCTGGGTTTGTTCCTTGTCAGCCATCCGGTGGGTGCCCAGGGGAAGCAGAGCATCCTTTGCCGATGGTTTTTCCTCCCGGCGGATGGCGGGGGCCGGGGGCTCCCGGGGGCGGCTGCAGCGCTGCCTGGCACCTCTCCCAGAGAGAGCCTCTGCTCTTGTCACAGCTCCGAGGAGCCTCAGGGCTCCTGCTCCTTGTGCTTGGCTTGGTCCCTAAATTGCACCCCACTGGGCTGCAGTTCTCAGGGGTCACGGGCTGGGGATGGACAGGGAGGATGGGACTGAGGGAGGACTCCGGGCTCCAGGTCAATGAGAAGGGACACAGACACATCTACTCTTTGTAGACAGCTCATTCTCTTTTGGCACACCGTTATGAACAGAACTGCCTTTGCTCATAGCCCTGGTTTGACATCAGCACTGTCCTAGGGAGGGAAATTGTTCCCCAATTAACACCTTGAATCCCAGACATACCTACCCCATCTCTGCTTTCTTCAGTTCTTCCCTGCTGCCTCCTTGAGTTGATCTGCAATATTCCCATCTGGGGCAGGAATCCCTTTTGCCCTTACCCACAGCATCCTCTTTTTAAACTATCCCCAGTCAACAACAAAATGCTAATGTCCAGCACCTGTTGCTCTTTTCGGCAGGACAGATGCATTGACCCTAAAACACACCCACAGTCACGACAGCAGGTCAGGAGCCAGAGAATCTCATGCATCAGGCAGTGAGACAGGCATGATGCTGTCATGGTTCCAGAAAGAAAGCTTGGCTGAGGCAAAAGCACGCTGCCCTGGAAACAGGCTGGCTGTTCATGGAAATGCACTGCTGAGGGAGCAGCCCCCCAGTGGGGTCACAGCTGAAACCCACGGGAGTGTGGAGGCTCTGGGCAGAGCCAGAGGGGGAGGATACACCCTGTTCTTACAACGTGGGGTGCAGAAAAGCTGGGGTGGGAGGGGAAGGGGTCCCGTGACTCTCTGGTCTCTTACCTCAGCCAGCAAGGGTTGAAAAGGGTTAAAATCCTGGGCAGGAAAATGTTTGCCTGGGCTTGTTTTTCACCCAGCCCGAGTGTTGAGTGTCCGTTTATTGTGCTGGACCACGGAAAGTCTTCCTGGCTTTCCTGGCTGCTGGGAGCCGTGCAGGCTCTGGGGCTGTTGGCTGCTGCCCCTGTGTCACCCCAGAACGAGTGGGGTGACAGCTCCGCTCTGGAAGGCTGTGACATCCCATTCTGCTGGGAGGGAAGGGCTCAGCTCAGCCCAGGGGCTGCCAGTGCCCCAGCACAGTCCCCTCTGTCAGGTCACAGCCCTGCACGTGGCAGCCCCCGTTGTTTTTTGGGCTGGCCCACAGACCCCAGCAGCCCCCATGGAGACACTGCTGGGGAGCAGCCCCGTGGCTCCACTGCAGAGAGGTTTGGGGGTCTCTCCTTCACCCACCATCATGGCTTAATGTCAAACAGCTCCCACAGCCTTTCTTGGAAGGCTGTCAGACATCTCCTGCCCAGAGGAGGCGGGGAGAGGTGAGCCTTTCCGGGAACAGAGCTGATTCTGGTAAGCTCCTTTCTTCGAGACTGCCGGCGTGTGCAGACACGCTGGATGGAGAAGTGGGAAGAGGGGATGTGGAGACGTGCTGGCGTGGGGCCCAGGGGCTGGCTCTGTGGCAGATGGGGACTCACAGCACCCCAGGCAAAGGGCTGGGGCAGGACCTGGCTGTTCCTGCCAGGGAAACCATTCCAGGACATGAGGATGCCTTGCACTGGCACTGGCTGCTCTTGCTGACATGGGAAGGAGGAAGAGAAAGAGTAATCTGCAAATAGGGGGGCTGCTGCAAATAGGCACAAGCCTCATCCTCTCCCACAGCCCCGGCAGCAGGCGCTGGCCTGGCCTCAGGCTCTGGCAGAGGTGAAATAGCAGAGCCATGGCACTTTGCTGCTCCCCACCTTCTGTCCAATCCACAGAGGCTCCGGAAAAATCTTTTTCCAGGAAGCAAAGGAGGGGAGAGCCCCCTTCATCACGCTGGCACAGCCACCCCTGTGCCAAGGGAGAGTCTGGCAGCAGCTCCAGCAGCAGCCATGGTCTCCTGTGGCACATGGAGATTTCTGTCTTGCCCTCCTGACCACTGTTGCTGCCACTCTCACCTGCAGGGCCGTGGCAGGAGACTGCCCTTCCATGGATCATGGAATCACAGGACAGTTTGGGCTGGAAGAGATCTTTAAATGCCATTTGGTCCAACAGCCCCTGCCATGGGCAGAGACACCTTCCACTATCCCAGGCTGATCAGAGCCCCATCCAACCCGGCCTTGAACAATTCCAGGGATGGGCCAGCCACAGCTTCTCTGGATAATCTGTGCCAGGGCCTTGCCACACATGTAGGGAAGAATTTATTCCAGATATCCAATCTAACCCTGTTTCTGTCAGTTTGAAGCCATCTTGCCTTTTCCTGTCATTCCATGCCCTTGTCCAAAGTCCCTCTCCAGCTCTCTTGTAGTCCCATTAGCACTGGAATGGCTCTAAAGTGTTCCTGGAACCTTCTCCAGGCTCAACAACCCCAGCTGTCTCAGTCTGTCTCCACAGCAGAAGTGCTCCAGCCCTCAGAGCATCTTGGTGGTGTCTAGACATGCTCCAGCAGCTCCACATTCCTCCTGGGGCCCCAGAGCTGGGGGACAGATCCTCTGTCTGTCCTCCATCGTGCCAGCTTTGTGGAACTGTTCCCTTCATGCCCTGCAGCTACACAGAAGGATTGGAACATCAGGATGTCTCCCCAGCTCTGTAGGGACTTGGGCAGGAGCCAAGGGCTTGATGAGTTCAGGGGAGCCTGCTCTGGTACTGCCCCTTCATGCTCCTTCTCCTCAGCTGAAATCTGCCCAGGTTTTACCTCTGCCATGCAGGAACCTTTCTCAGGAGCTCCCCATCCCCTTTCCTAGGAAGGAGCTTGCTCCCATGGCTGCCTTGCTCTGTGGGAGGCATTTGACCCTTCCCTGTTTAGAAAGAGCATAACCATGGTGTGCACTGAAGAGCTCCATGTTTGTTTCTTTGAACACAATATTTTCAAACAACTTGAGTCTTGTTTGTTGCAGCAGACACAGCAGCTCTTGGCAGCCTCCATGGGACAGGAACAGGACAAGTTTTCCTCAGTTCAGGCTGCACCAGCTGCCAAGGAGAGGCAGCAATTCCCACTGCAGGTGTGCACCTTGCCCTGCAGTGTCCCACTGGGATCAGCCAGCAGTTTGCAGCTCGGGTGTGATGCTGCCAGGGAAGAGCTGCATCCCACAGCCTGGCTGCCTTGGGATGCTGACTGGTAGCTGTGGAAAACACAGAGCATCAGCACTTTGCACTGTGTGCTGGGCTTCAAATTGGTTCTCATTTATGGAGAAGGAGGAAGCCATTGTGTTCAGAGAAGTGAAAGCCAGTGTGATGTTCTCTACTACTTTTGAAAACACTTTCTACGTGAAGCAGTTCCCTTAAAACACAACCCCCAGTATGGTCAGTACTTCCAAAATTGGAGTTTTCCGTCCCCTGTGGAGACACTGGCTGCAGACAGATCCAGACATCTGCTTTTCATTTCCTGCTTTGTTCTTAAATGTGAGAAAATACGAAATCATGTGGTGCCTTTCTTGATCCCCTGCCATTTATTTCTCTCCCTTATTACAGTAATGGCTCAAGAGCCCTACATGAACCACAGAGGCTTCTCCAAAGGGCATCTCCAAAGCAAGAGGCCCCATTTGGCTCTAAGGAATCTTCTCCTGAGTTTGGCAAGGATATCCTTGGCCAGGAGAGAGGGGCTGGTGGGTTGGTTTGTGTCAGAGCAGTGGCTGAGCTGCCAACACCACTGAGGAGAGGTGGGTTAGTGTGAGCATGAGCTGCCACGAGCAGCTGGGAGCTTTGTCAGGGGAGAGAGAATCCCATCCTATGCCCAGAGCTGGAGATGTGTCAGTGTGTCTCCCTTGCAGCACCAACCCTGGCTGGGCTGTCCCAAAACCTGAATGTTCCTGCTGCCTCCATCCAGCAAGGCCCTGGGATGGAGGACAATGCTTGGGCAGACAAGGATGCTGTCAGTACCTGCTCCCAGGCCCTGCTCTAGTGTCACCAGCTCCTGAGCCTGGGGACCTCCTGAACATGCTTCCCATTAAGTGGAAATTCCCATGAAGTGGAAAATCAACATTCTCTTCTGATCCACTCTGGCATCTTTCTTTCACAGGCTCCTAGCTCTCACTTACTTTCCCTTTTAATTCTCAGTCTTGACCTTATTTCAAGGAATACAAATCTACTGTAACAAACAATTCTTTCACAAGGAACCAAACAGCAAACACTTACAGGAGGGAAACTCCCCGTAGGAGGTGGGGAGGTGTTCTGGGACCATTTCCTGTTTGTTTAGGACACCGCCCACATTCTCTTTATATGTTGTTTTGCATATAAAGCTCTGCACATTCAAGGTGCTTCTGCCTTCACGAGCAATTCCTGAGGCATTAATCACAGATTCCCTCCACCTGTGGGGACCTTGACCCTGTGCACAGCTCAAGTTTGTTGTGAACAGCTCTGGTGGGTGGGGAATGCTGGAGCTGCTTTCAGGTCTCTCCTGGGTGAGATAGGATCTGGCACTTTGACCCGTGCTATATGTGGTTTGGAACAATGAAGGAGTTCCTGGCTAAGGGCTGCAGCAATCAAAGGTTAGGGAATTACATCAGATCAAGCTTCTGAGTGTGCCTGGTGCCTGTCACCAATGTCCCCAGCAGACCTTGTTCTCCTTTTGTTCTGCATCAAACCCAGTGTTTAGGTAGCAGAGCATCTGTCCTGCTACAAAAATGACTTTAGAGCAGAGCAGGGGCTGGAGGCAGAGAGCCCAGCCTCCAGCACGGACACTGAACTGACTGGTGTGACATCCTTTGGTGGGTGCTGAGGGCACACCTGGGGCAGTGCTGGAAGGCACAGAGCTTGCAGGAACCCCTGGTGGTGCCAGTGTCCACTGTGTGTCCCTCTGCCCACACTGCATGGCAGGAGAACGGGTGAATGTTTGTGGATGCTTTGCCTCGTCCATGTTTCTTACTGCAGTTACATACAGGGGGAAAAACCAACCCTCTTCCTGTTATCTACTGCTTTTCTTTGGGGTGCAAAGGGTTGCCTCAAAAAATCTCCCAAAAAGGAAATGGGAACAGGCTGGGATAAGCTGGCCCTGGTTCTCAGTTACTCAGTTTTTCTGCTCTTGGTTTCCCCAAAGGCTTGGAAGTTCCTGGCTCGCAGGGTTGAACACTCCATCACTTGGATGCTGTGATTCTTCTGGGATTGCTCATGTAGGAGCTCACCTGCCTGCCTGCACTCATCACAATTTCATCTACAGGTCCAGATCTGCACTGAAAAACAACCTGCTAATCCTGGAAACTAAAATTTTCCTTCAGTGAAACAAATCAAATTAAGAAAGCAAGTGCCCAGGCAATTCCTGCTGTAACTAAACCTAAAATCTGTTGAATCTGAAGAGAAGTCCTGAGATCTTTCACTGTCATGTGAGAATCCATAAAATCAGAGTGTTTTGGGAACACTCTGTCTCTGCTGCCTCAGAGA